TATTTAAGCTTATAATAATAATAAGAAATATATAATATTAATATAATTATTTACTATTTAATATATTAGCTAAAGAATTATCTTTAGTATTATTACTATAATAATAGATATTATAGAACTATATTTATATAATATTTTATAAGCTTATATCTAATTAATAACTTTATTTAACTATAATTTTTATATTAACTTATCTTATAAGCTTATTAGAAAGCTAAATCTAAATAATAATTCGGTTCTAAAGGTTATAAAACTATTATATAATATACTAGAAGCTAGAAATTACTAGTTTAAGACTTACTATTTCTATTATATTAATAAGCTTTCTATAAAATAATTAACTTATAACCTTTACCTTTTCTATAATAAGTAATTCTTCGGAATTATTAGCCTTTAAACTAATAATATTCTATTTATTAGAACTAATAATTTTATAAAAGTAAAGTAACTAAAGCTTTATAAGGCTAAGTTCTTAGCTAAGAAATATAAATATCTTACTATTAACTATAATCTCAAGTTTAATAGAGGTATTATTTATGCAAATACTACTAGAATTACTCTTATATAAGAATACTAGTATAAAAACCTCTAAATTATTTCTATAAAAAATATTACTATTATAAGTAATAGAAATACTATTTATTAAGATCTTTTTATTAAGAACTAATATATTATCTAATATACTAGAGAAGTATATATTATATTAGTCTATTAACTAGAAGCTTTATATAATCTATTAATTACTATTTAAGTTATTAAACTCTCGGAAACTAATATAATAGTACTTAATAAATATATTTAATAGTAAATTGAAAATATTACTAGAGAACTAAAATTTATAAAGCTAATAAAGAAGTTCTTATATTTAATTATTTTTATATACTTTATTTATAAATAATAGAGATTTCTTTTTCTAAATTAAATATATTTTAGTTCTAATAAATAGAACTAGATATACTAATATTATTTACTAGTTCTTTACTAAATATAAGAGAGTTACTAGAAGTATTCTAGCTTTAGAACTTTATAATATAGCTTATAGTTTTAATATAGGCGCTTTAGTTAAATTTATAATTAATAGAATACTAGAAATAGAACTATTACTAGTAATCTATACGGATTTAAAGTTACTATATAAATGCCCTATTAAATTAGGAACTACTCGAGAAAAATATCTAATAATTAATATAATATATCTTTACTAGATATATAAATAATAAGAGATTATAGAAGTCAAATAAATTAAAGAAGAATCGAATTCTACTAATTCTATAATAAAATCAAAGCTAATAAATACCCTTAAGTACCTAATTAATATAAATACTATATAATTAGATATAAAGAAATAGATTAAATATAAATAAAATAGAAAATAAATATATAAGATAGGAAAATATTATAAGAGGAGAAGTTATATATAAAAGGCTATAGCCTTTAGTATATAACTAAAACCTTAGAAGTAATATAGATATATAGAGTATTTGGGAAATCTAGTACTAGGCCGGATCAGGGAATTTGTATATAATTAGAGAAAGGTACTATTTTTTGCGTTTTTTAAAAAGTTTCTAGTATTAGTATAGCTATTTCTTTAAGAGTTATATATATAAGTAATAGAATATAGGATACGGGATATAGTTATATAACCTTGTATTCTATAAGTAATTCGACTAGTAGACTAGACCCCTTTAGGCTTAATAGATTTAGGAATTATATATTAATATTATAATACTATAATTCCTATTTCTAAATAATAACTTTACTAATCTTATATAAATAGTATTTTATATATATTATATAATAGTACTATATATTACTAGTAAACTAATATTAATAAAAAAGCTTATTATTTATAATATAATTTATTTATAGCTTTTTAGATTCGGCTTTTATTATTATAAGATTAAAAAAGAGCTTTATATAAATAAATAAATATATTCTAATATAATTTAATATTATTAAGAAATGTTTTTATTATTAATAAAAGAGCTCTTATTATATATAATCTCACATAAAAAAAGCCTTTAATTAGTAAATAATTAATGAAAAAATACTCGAAAAAATAAAGAAAACTAATTTATAATTTGAAATTTATAAGTTTTAAAAATATATTAAAGTATTAAATAATAAAAATATTTTTATTTCGAATAATTTTAATTTAAATACTTATTAAAATATATATTTAGGCTTAAATAAAAACCTTTAATAAAATATAAATTAATTATTAATATAAATTATTAAAATAATTAATATATTTAAATTATATATTTATTTTTTATATATATCCTTTATAATAAAGCTATATTAAATAGTATTAATATAAATAAAATATTAAAAAGAATTCAAAAAAAGTAATATTAAAGCTTATAAAAGAAATATATACTTTTTATTAAAATATAATATTCCGGGATTATAAAATACTATTTAAGTTTTTTTATAATTTAATTTAAATAAAGAAAGAAAACTTAAAAATATAAAATCGAATTTTATGAAATAAAATTATAATATATTATATTTATTAAATATTTTCTTATTATTAAATAAATATACTAATTAGCTTATATATTATTAAATTACTAAAACTTTAAAGAACTTATTATAAAGCAAAAATATAAGGCTATATTTTTATTAAAGTTCTATTATAATATTAATTTAATTAATATATATTTAAATATAATAAAACTCGATATTATTAAATAAATAAAATTAGCTTTTTAAATATTAAAGCTAAGATAATAAAAGTATTTAAAGTTTATTTAATTAAGATTATATAAAGTTTTATAATTATATATTAAAATAAATTAAGTATTAAATAAGTTATTTAATATATAAGAAAATAAAAATATAATAAAAAATATTTTAAAAAAAAAGTAATAAATAAATAAAATAATATATAAAAGTAAAGAAAAGAAAATAGCTAAATAATAAATAAAGTTTATAAATTTAATTTAGTTAAAAGTTAGCTTAAACTCTTTATAATTAAAGCCCTATTATATATATATAATATATAATATTAAAGAAAGTTATAGTTAATATTTAAAAAGATTTATATAAGTTTATAAAACTTAATTATTATTATTATATTAATAATAAAGCTAGTAAAATACCGCGATCTTTTCTTGAAATATAAATTTATATAATTTTAATAAGTAAATATATTTGTATTTTATATAATAAAAAATTAAAAAAGTAAAAAGAATTTATATATTTTAAACCTCGAATATTAATGAACCACAAATCGTACTAAAAATCTGATTAATAGTTTTCGCCTGGTTCTATTCTATAATCGCATTACTTAGTATTAATTAATTAGGGTCGTAATTAAAAAGTTATTATGAGCGTAAAAGAGCGACCGTTTTGTCGCTTTTGGATTGGACCGATGTACTGCAAGGTTCCCAGGGACACGGCGCAAGGTCAAAGCGGTGATGCATCCTTGGTCTTGCGGGGTCGGGTATTTCGGACTAAGTCTGGCCACGGCGACCATCGAAGCCTCACTGACACCACACTTCACTCGCCAAACAAAAGGTTGATGCCTGATGCCCCAGAACATCCTAACCCCTAACATCTCTTTAAGTCAAATCGTGCATTTATCTAAACCGAATATAAAGAAAATAAGCCGAATTCCACTAGGCTAGAATCAAGCTAGATTTTCAATATTATATATATAACTTTCAATATATGTTGTGGTTGTGATACAATTAATAAAAGGAGCATTGCGAAATACGTGGATTTTTCTAAGGCGATTTGTGTCCAGGCATGAACTTTTCTTGGCAGAGATTGCGTTATTGGTAAGTCGAAGGTCATCAGAGCGAACTTGGTCCGAATCACCCGTCCCCAGGCTTGCGTGTTCCTGGATTGACATCCCGTCCGGGCCGGGCCTGGCGATGTAAATGGCATGTATTCCCAGAAGATCCATCGTGTAGAAGCAGCCTGGATACTATCTGGTGCTATGAATGTCTAGAGGAGATGGAGGCCTCTCAGAACAAACTCAAACCTGGCCAATCGACCCAAAATCAATCCCAAGAATATGATATGAGGCCAGTCCTGTTTTGCGGGACGCCAGCAAAGCCAGAAACGCAGGTTCAGGGGTCGTAAACTCGGAAGTCCCCAGAAGGACGGAACGCCACCGCACTCCGAAAAAGAAAACTGAGCTGGCCCGGAAAATTTTAACCCTCTTGGGCATTGTTTTCTCCGAACTTGTGCAAATACTTTTCGAAAGGAATGAGATGCTCCTGTAGCTTTAAAGCCTCGCCGCTTCGCAAGGATAGCAACGACGGTCTTATCTTAATCGGCATCGGAAAAACCACCGCGGGAACTTGAGGCTTAGACTTTCTGTTCTCTCGTCGATTTGGTGCACTTCGGGCCCCCGCCCCTTGAATACTATTGTGAGCCCTTACGAGTTACGAACCCATTCTCACTAGTCTGTGTTCTACAGGCCCATTTTCAGGCCTGGCTAAATTCAAGTCAATAGTTTTATGTCGCTTTTAATAGATAACCACTTATTGTTTTTCTTTTAAACTAAAGCGCATAATATAGAAGTAGTTAAATTTATTTATTAACAATACTAGAATAAATTGAGTAATAGTTCAAAAAGTTGGGAATTCCCTTCAGTGGTCTTTAGCGAGGAAATTGCCTTGTACCGCACAGACTAGTGAGAATGGGCTCGTTAGGTAACGACATCCTGAAACCTCGTTGATATCCCTAAACTAGGAAATATCAGGTGCCTCCGAGAGTCTCTATTGGCCATAGACCCTTGAGTTGGCCAGTTCAGATGTGGTGTTACTTAATGGCCCACAATCAGTGTTTTGGGGGGGGGGGGTAAGAATGCCACGATAGCATGTGGAGGCTGTGCACCCTGTGCAACCTGCAGCATGTTCTGGTGGTGCCTATTGGCTTGGAAAAGCCTATAAGAAGTGCTGTAAAGTCTCACGCGGCTTACTCTTCGGGCTAGTTCGTGTTGCCTTGAGCTATACAGTACAAAACTGCACACACCACAATTAAACCCAGCATTAAAATCACATTTCCCATGACCGAGACAAAACAATACTAGGAGTGCTGTTAAGCCTCGATCTAGCTCAGAAGTCAAAATCGTCCCTTTCTACTTACCCTGAGACTTGGTGCGGCAATATTTGTCCTTTTCCACAGTGGTTTCCTAAGACGAGGCTGCGGTGCGACCGAAGCCTGAATTGCAACTCATATGATAGAAAGTTATTTGTATCATATTCTCGATTCTCTCCAAAGCCACACCGATCCGCATTACTAATGCACTCTTTTAGACTAATACTTTGCAAGACCAACTATCAATGGACCTGAATATAGTTCGGACTGCGGGAAATTTGTCTGGAGTGCCGCCTCTTGCCTTTGAAGAGTGGGACGGAGACTCAGTCCTCGCTGCAAAAGACGATAAACAATCCACCGTGGCAAATTCTTCTCAACCTTCTCACTCAAATAATTTTCCTGTTTCACACAGCTTGTACAACGCAGCAGAGTTTCCAAGTTTTGGCCCGCGATATGGCATACCAGCTAGGCCCAAGGGCAACAACTTGCCAGATCAGAAACACCTCACCATCTCACGGATCGAGGTCTTGGATCCCTACGAAGAAATACTCCGGAAGGCAGATGCTGATATACAAAGTTCGTACGCGGACCAACAAAAGCCCTGCGGCGACTTGGGCGTAGAGGGCGGATTTGAGTAAGTTGGCGGCCGAATCACGAACCCTTCAAGCAAGCTAACGTTCTGCTGTAGTACATTATTCAACAGAATGCAAATTTCAACTCCACCAGAAATCACAGGAGAGAACACTCATCAAAGATTCAGTGATCCAATATCGGCATCCCCGCCTTTCGAAAGTTCTCAGCCTCCGTCAACAGGTTGCATAATATGCACGGAACAGTTTTCCGGAACAGTCGCCCCACCTGCCTGGATTTCTCAGGCCTGCCTCCATAATCCTTCTGTCTGCTGCGAATGCCTAGCAAAGTGCATACAAAACGATTTGGAAACCAAAATTTGGAATCAAATCAAGTGCCCAGAATGCAGAACTTTGCTTATATACGAAGACATTAAGAGGCTCGCGGACCCGGTTACCTTTTCCAGGTTCGTTCAACCGAATCTACACGTCAAGGAGAAAGGGGTAGCTAATTTTGAACAGATATGAAGTCCTATCCTTTCGCAGCGCTGTCAATTCGGACGCTAACTTTGTGTGGTGTCAAAATTGCGACTTTGGGCAATTGCATGACAGTGGGATGGCCCAACCAATTATTCGCTGCTTAAACTGTGGTTTCAGGTCTTGTTTCAGGCACTCTGTGCCGTGGCACGATAGGCTTACCTGCGAAGAATATGACGAAATGCTTCAAAACCCTGACGGGTTTCGAAGTGCGATAGACATGCAGGATGCGGCTGCTGAGATGGCCATTAGGTTGCAGGAGCAAGAAGACGAAATGTTTGCCAGACAAATAGACCAGCGCGATAAACGTGCAGAACAAGAAAGGCAGAAACAACGGCACGAAGAAGAGCGACGGAGAGCACGCGCCGCGCAGAAAGCAGCTGCAGAGAAAGCGAAAGTGGAGCAAGATAGAGCGAGGAAGATGGAAGCGCTCAAAAGAAGGGCCATGGAGGAAAAGCTGTCGGTGAAGAAAGTCCACGCTACTACCAAACCGTGTCCAGGATGTCGATGGCCTATAGAGAAGAATGCAGGCTGTTCACATATGACTTGTAAGCCCCATATTCCGTCGGAATAGTCTTACCGCTATCGTACTCTTCGTTCAACACCTATGTACGCATAGAGGATTATCTAGTATGGCCTGATCAAGTGACTGACTCATACAGGCACGCAGTGCGGGCATCATTTCTGTTGGAACTGCATGGCAAATTGGTTGGGCCATGGATCCCGATGCCCAAGTTGACAATTCCACTGATCCCTGTTTCATGTATTCTTCCCCGGTGTCCTGTGAAAGATAATATTTGATATGGATGAGTGAAGTTAATTGAAATTGCTGACTGAATTCTACAAGGTATCAAATGTGGAGCTGAGTTCTGTTGGAGCTGTTTGAGTGACTATGATGGTATTCGGCGGTTTGGTAATTCAAGGCACAAGAAGAATTGCGGGTTCCATACGGACAATCTACAATTCTAGCTAGTGGAAAAGTCACATAGGATCATGATATCTATGAATCACATCAATTCGCGTCGAGCTACGGCCCGCTTGTCCTTCGGAAGAAGCAACACCCCACCAGATCGATTGGGGTCTCAGTCCTCTGTGCCTGTGACCTCAGCTGGCATAAATGACCGAGAATCACTCGGTTTAGCATGATTTATCTCAGCCATGAAACCAAGGAGAGTCGGAGAGTCTTTCGGTCGGGACAAGGGCCGGGTATAAGGGCCATGTTCCTCTGGAGTGACCGCAACCAAGACCCTACCCCGCTTCAACACTCTCGGCTCCGCAAATGAATCTGCCTTGACAGCTCTAAAGACTAACTCAGGACTCAAATCAAATAGGTATGTGAAGATTACATCCGCGATGGGAGGCCTTTGCACCTTCCCTGGCGGCGATAGGCTAACACAATCAAACTGGGACCACTCTCGGCGAAGAGGGTGCCTCTCCTCCGATTTTGTTGAATGATACGACGTGTACCTCAAACTGAACTCGTGGACGGACAAATGCATTTTATGTGCTAGTTGTAGCGCGGGTTCGATTATCGTGCTTTGTACCAAGCGGGTGAATCCCGAAATGTCAGAACGAGGCTGAAATAAACTTAGCATATTAGCTAGGTCATTGGAAAGTGTTTTGCCCTGCTTATGGCGAAACTGGACAAATTCAGGTCGCTGAGTGACGGCAGTGAGAGTTTCACAACGCCAAGTGCGCAAGGTTACAAGATCTAAAAACGTAGACATACGATCAGTCTCACACGATCTAAATTTCAAGAAGAGAAAGCAACTAACCTCGTCGTGGCTCAAGATTCCCCATACTTCTTTCAATTGAGTTCAAGAAGTTCATGAACCCCCTTTCGATTGGACAGTAAAAGTCTTTCGCGAGTATCTCAAGGTACAGAAATTTCATGATCGCTGCAATCACGTTGTATTCATCTGTATCTGGATATTCGAATGCTTCCTTTCCTGGCTGTGGGATCAGAGATAGGAATTTCCTGATCCGTGGATCGGGCCGAGTTGCTTTGATGGATTTGCTGTCAAATGCCTTTGTAAGTTGCGTCTGGACCCAATCTTCCACAGTCAGACAAAGTGAATGGAATTCTGCTGCAGCGTCTGCTTCTGTGATGGTCTTCTCACGCCGTTGCAGGCTGAAGACAAAATCTTGTGTTTCGTTGAGATCTTTTTGAAGCACCGTGACCTGGTTTCGCAACAGCTTGCATTCTTTCTTCGACTCTTCCAGCTTTTCGGCCGTTGCACATGCTTTCTCCAAAGCCGATTTGAGTTCCGCTGTCAATGCAGATACTCTTGCTTCGTCTTTCAGATAGGTAACTTGCCGTGACTTCCGCCCACAAGCAGGTGTGGGATTGGCAGCTCTTAAGAGCAATTAGCAGTCCAAATTGTAAGAGGTATGAGAACACCCACTTCGAAGACCCCAAAGCTTCCGCATTTGGATTTTGTATTTTCCGAGTAACGGTAGTAGCACTAGAGATTCGTGGAGGAGCACCTATTCCAAGTTAGCTACTAGAGCAAAAAGTGATCGCCGTGAACTGTGCCAGAACTACTGGTAGTCGCTGGGGCTCCTTCGTTGTCCCCGGGTATTTCATTGGTACCTTTCTGCCACTTCCTCGCAACCGCGAGGCCTGCCTCTGTATTCTCTGCCTTCGGCGAATTCTATGGTCCAATATCAGTATTAGAAACTCGCTTTTCTTCCTGGGGGCGTCTAAGTGCAGAATTCACCATTGTGTCATCTGGCACATCTCCCACATTGGGATCGTTTTCATTCGCCCCCGACATTATGTCAATATAATGCAATGACCAGATTTCGAAGAAGTACGTAGTCAATCATCTATTCAGTGAGACTTTCGAGAAGATCCGCAACGCAAGAGGGCGGGGGAAACAATGCATGATCAAATTTCGAGAAGCGAAAGAAATCCAAGTGTGAGAAAATCGAGCAGCTCGGTCCACCTCGAGCTTCGAAAGGTTCGCAAATCCCATCCGCACTATTTAGCATTGCCTCGCAGGGTATCTTTCAAGGCGGCCAGGAATCCCTGTGGTGTGTGGAGGCTTAGCCAGATAAGAGCAAGTCATCACGGGCTGGGTTTCGTGGAGTCTGCCACGTGTGAGACGTAGAGCCAACAATTGAGTTCAGCGCATGAGCCTCATCCAATAGACCCCACGATCAACGGGGAGTGGTAGTACAGCTGGAGAAGAAAATGTTGCTTTTGATTTATTAGTCACTCCGCCCCCCTGTGGTATTCGCCAGAGAAACCGGTTTGTCTTCAATTGTCCGCCAAACTCCAAGCGCCCCAAGCTCGCAAGGCTCAGTTCTCTGGTATGTGCTCAAAGGTTTCTGCCTAAAGACCCAACCACCCGAAAACCACATTCCTGTCCGAGATAAACGGCAATTAAACTCCTCACAGAGAAAACAATTTCGGATGTTCATGACCAAGTGTAGGGTGCGGCTTTTGGGGTAAGAACGTATTGCCTCTTGAATTGGGCGTCTCCAAAATGGACTCATTTGCTGGACTATCAATTGAGGCGCGCAGATTGGTAGTTGGTATTGATTTTGGCACTACTTACTCTGGTCTGGCATGGGCTGACACCAGACGAGTAAGTGCACGCAGCCAGGGTGTTTGGAATAAAGTTAACGATCTTCAGTCGGACCATCAATCAATTGTCGAGTCATGGCCGGTCAATAGAGGAACCCATGAGGGGTTTAGCTGTGTCAAAGTACCTACGGAAATTCGTTATTTGCCAGAGGGAGTCGAATGGGGATTCCAAATCCCCCCGACCGTTGCAAGGCACAAGTGGTTTAAGCTGTGAGTAGTCAATGACGCCCTTTCAAATTTCTGGATTCTGATACCCTTAATTCAACAAGGGGTCTAGAGAAGGGAACAATAAGCAGCGCGGATGGACATTTGGAAACCCCAGAAGATTTGAGCACGGACTACCTGACCGCACTGGTAGGGCATCTGATGTATACGCTAGAGCAAAACCTTGGAGCAGCAATTCTTCGAACCATCCCTGTGGAGTTTTGCCTCACTGTGCCAGCCATCTGGTCGGAAGTTGCCAAGGAAAAGACTTTGCAAGCTTGCCAGAAGGCTTGTTTGACATCCGAGAAGGAGATATTGTTTGTTTCAGAACCTGTAGGTGTCGAAATCTTATTATAATGCCAATCCATTAATTCAATCCATAGGAAGCCGCTGCTATTTATACCCTCCATGGGCTTGACCCTCATGGTCTCAACATTGGGGACACTTTCGTCCTCTGCGATGCTGGCGGTGGAACAGTCGACCTGATATCTTACACAATTACCGAGCTCCATCCTATACTTAAAGTGAGAGAAGCGGCATCGGGGACAGGTGAGAGATGCGGTTCAACATTCCTTAATCGCCGTTTCTGCGAATTCTTGACGTCGAAATTGGGAGACCAACCTGGCTGGGACTCTGAGATTCTTGCGGAGGCCATGGAAAAATTTGAATCTGTGGTAAGACAACCCTCCAATATACTTTTTCATATCGAAGCTAAAATTTTGACCCTAAACAGATCAAGAAACACTACTCGCCGTCTACTTCCAACAAAGAGGGTTACAGTATCCTGGTCCCTGGTATTTCCAATAATGATACTCTTGGTATCAGGCGGGGCAGGTATATAATGAAGCCTGCTGAGATGGATGGTATCTTCGAACCGGTTGTGGGAAAGATAATCAAGCTGGTCGAGGCGCAAATCCTGTCCACTAGTCAGAAAATCACCGCGGTACTTCTTGTTGGAGGATTTGGACAGAATAATTACTTGAAAGAACGGCTCCGCGCTTCCTTGGGCAGTGGCACCCTCGTTTTGCAACCGCCCAATGCTTGGACGGCCGTGGTACGTGGTGCTGTAATGTTGGGTTTAGCTCGGGCCAATTCGAAGTTGGCTGCTGTGGGTTTAGTTTCCAGGGCAGCGAGGAAACACTACGGCATGGATGTAGGCGCTGACTTTGAAGAGGGCGTCCACGATGATGCCAGAAAGTAAGATTCGGATTCAAGTCCACTGGTTGTTCGACTAGAGTGCTAACAACTTTTCATAGGCGTTGGTCCGAAAGACGCAAGAAGTACAAAACAAACGCACTGAAGTGGTTCATCAGGAAGAATGACCCCATAACAGAAGGCCAGCCCTCCGTGATCCATTGTCATCAAGATTTCTTGGTAAGCAAAGGAACCCCAACAACGATTGAGATAAGCATTCTTTGTGACGAGCAAACCGTTGCCGCACCCATCTATAGGACCAGCAACGTGCGAACGCTTGTGACTCTAGAAGCAGACCTGAAGCAATTGCCAAAGTCGGATTTGAAAAATACTATAGTAACCAGAGAAGATGGAAATCAGTACTACAATATCGAATGTGCTATCGAGGCCACATTTTATAGCGCATCTACGAAGTACGTGCTTCTTTGTCAAGGAAAAAGGTATGACACGGTAACGGCTGAGTATGCTTGACTCAGGGGCAACGAGAATAACCGCTACAAGAGTCAGATTCAATGACTGGAGGTCGGAGGTGAATAACATCTGTGACAGGAAAGAAGGCGTGCTTTTTGAGTACGTGTCCTGTAAATAATTTATTTTGGCAAAAATCTCGATCCGCACCTTTCATTTTGAAATAACTAACCTCACTTCTAATATTAAAATGAGATCACCAGACGCAGGCCACACGTGCTTCTATGTATAAATGTGAACGTCGGGAAAAGCTTTTTGCCTCTGCAATCTCACGGTCAGGGCCGTGGAGGTAAGGCCTCGGTCGATACCGCTTAGTCAAAAAGCATCGCAGGCTGTCTCAAACTCGAGAGCGCCACTAATATAGATTGAACAGGCGGGCGTCGAGGGATGTGAAATCTAAGGACAGGGAGATCATGGTCTCTGGCAAAAGAGTGTGGTCGTGATCGTTCTGGTATTATTGATCGTGGTGTCGATAGGAGCGGTGGACAAGGTCGCTCGAGGTTGACGCGTATAATCGTGGCTCAATAGCACTAAAGGTTTCCAGTTTGCACCGCGCAGAGGTGGTGAGTCGTCGCAAGCCGTGTGGCCCATGTTAGGGGACTATTACTGAAGAACTAGATCGAAGGGAGAATTAGAGTTGTGATATACAGTGCAGTGAAAAACGGGAAAATGTAAAACGACCCCCCCCCCCCTCTCCCGCGGGTGTCGATTAGACATATCAATGGATTTTGGAGTTTTAATAATGTCTAATTAGTTGCTTGTACTTACTTAAGTCCTTCTCTCAAATCAGATTTCCTAATATAGGTATAAGGAAGTTTATATATAAGAGCTCTAATTTGGGGTGTGAAACAGGTAAGGCAATTATTACATACAAGATAAATTAGTTCCAGGCGCTTAATCGCTAAATTTTCAGGCTCTTATAGTGCCTCAAAAATTCTGACTTTCCTTACCTTCTTTAAATATTCTTAAATCTACTAATTATTATATAATAAAAACTTTATATCCTATTAGCTTATAATTTGGGCTTTCTATAATATAAAAAATAATTAAAAAATAATAATAATTCTTTATATAGTAAACTTAGCTTAAAGGAAAACTAGATTTTTTGGTATTCCTCTCTATTTTAGGTTAGTCCGGCCCCCAATCGACACCCGGGGGGAGGGGGGGGGGAGGGGTCGTTTTACATTTTCCTTGAAAAACCAGCGTGAATATACTAATCTAGCGCCGTTCACCTCAAATCCTCCCTGCATGCTTCACTCCCCTTACTTCCATTATCTACTATCCAGCTACACTTCTGTCATAGATACGGGTACTAGGGAGCTTAGCTTCGCTTACTCAGCGGCCCCTTTTATTTAGCTAGATCCAGAGGCTCCCTTCAGAGCTTCTTTTAATCAGACAACCACTTATACAAATTACTGTTCCTTGCTATTTGCGATAGTTATAAGCCCAGCGCACTAGCTGCACACCTCTATTAGCGATTAGTAAGCGTTCTAGTAATTACGGTTATTCTCACTATAGTTATAACTGCTAAAAGAACACGTTTTACCTGTTTTTCTTATCCTTTATTTCTCTCTTTAGAATGGCAGCTCTACTAGTCTCTAATATACGCTTTACTAATTACAGAAGCTTCCCTGTATAGTATGCAGAGCTTAAAATCAATTCCATCTTTCGAAACGTATAGCACCTTATTAATCCCGATACTTTAGAAGCTCCTCACCTGCTCTCTGCAGAGCCCCCCCCTACCTCTTATAATTAATCAAATAATTAAGTAATTGAATATCGAGCAAAATACTCTATTAGCAATATAGGATACGGATAGAAGGCCAGAAGCAGAGAAGGGAGCATAACTAAGAGCTCTATATCCAGCTCGTTTTGACGATATTAAAGAGGAATACTTGTTCAGGCTTAAAGAGTATACTATTAAGTAGTCGAATTAGTTAACGTAAAGCTCTCGGTATTAGAATATCTGGGATTAGGTATACTATACGGTTAAACCGGCTCTGCTTGTACCACACCTTAAGCTACTTGTTTTCTAGTAGAGGCTCTTCCTTCAGAATATTATACGAGCTCTTCATAATAAATTCCAGCTATTAGAGGATAATACGCGGGAATAAGTAAGGGAGAATTACAAGAGAATTCTGGACTATAGCAGAATAGGTTTAGAACCTCCCAAAGCCTGAATTAATAATTAGTACCAAGCTCTTATACGAGCTCAAACCTACCGAGTTATAGAAGTCGAAGGATTCCTGGTAATTAAGGACTTTCTTTAAGTAGTAGCAGCCAAGTTTCTATCTACTTAGGGAGTATAGCAACTCGCTTTAGTAATTGAGGCTAATATACTTAGAGAGCCTGTTTATATATTTAAGTAATACAGAAGGATCTTTAAGGCTCTAATTTAGTAAAATAAATACTTTTTACTTGGGATCTTTGCCTCTCTTACTAGAAGATCTAACGGATACTCGTACCCATATAAGGAAACAAGAGCGGAAAAGCACCTGTAGAAGCCTGTTAATTACTCTATTCTAGAGCTTATAACTACTAGTTCCTATACTAGAAAACTGGATTCATACCTAACGGACGAGTAATTAAAGGCTATATAAGAACGCGTAGTAAAGGGATACAAGAAGCTATATAAATAGCTTGAGAAGAAGAATTGGATAAAGAATAGAGGGAAGTTACTAGGGAATTTTGAGTACTAATAGTGCGTATAATGTGGTTTCCTGGCTTTGGGCTTGCGGAGCCGTCCGGGGCTAGAGTTAGGCTTTTTTTGGAACTAAGTATATTACCGGAGATATCTGGAAACACTTTGCTTCCTACCCCTTTTAGTTCTATTAACTTAATATAAGGCGTTAGGGAATAATGGTTTCTTAGCTCTTAATAAGGGTAGATAGACTATATATATACTTCTTTTAGCTAGAAGTACTCTATAGAAGTACTTTACTAGCTATTTCCTTTATATATAGAATTAAAAGCCTCTGGGGAATATATTATAGATACGGGTACTAGGGAGCTTAGCTTTGCTTATTTAGCGGCCCCTTTTATTTAGCTAGATCCAGAGGCCTCTTTTAGAGCTTCTTTTAATTAGATAACTACTTATATAAATTACTATTCCTTGCTATTTGCAATAACTTCTAAATATAAATCTATCTTTATAAAGCGAAAGCGCATACTCTAGTTATTCTATATTATATATTTTAATAGTCTTATATAAGAAGGTATTAAGTTATTAGAAAATCCAGATTTCTTTAGTTTTTAGTATTTATATATATACAGGTTTAAAACTAACTAAAATATACTTAAAAAAGTAGTTTTTAGGCATTTAATCTGCCACCTTTAGATTCAAATCTTGCCGTATCTAATAGAAGCTATATTTAATATAAAACTAGCTCCCTTTATATAGGGAAGCTTGTAAATTAAAAGGCGGTAGGTTATAAGACGAAAACGTAGGCTTTGAACAATTTTAGTATGGTTTGCGTGCGCCCAAGAAAAAAGCTTAAAAATCCTCAGTCTTTACTAATTTACTAACAACTTCTTAACTACGTAATTTAAAATAAGAAGACTAGGAATATAGAAGGCGTATATACTTGCTATATAGATATAAAATTTGGCATTCTTTAATTGCGTAGTTGAGAAGTTATTGAAGTTCACAAAATCAAGTGAGTCTTGGAGAGGGTGCGCGGCGCTAAATTAGCGTGTTGACGCTGGTTTTTCACTGCAATGTAGCTGGGCGGCCGCAAGTGCGGGGGACATATGGCAGGTGCCTTGGCAGGGACTGCACAACACCACTGGGCCGGCCCGTTTCTGGCAACTGGACCCCCGAACTTAACACAAAATGGTATCCCTCTTCTAGTTCATAGCCCACTGGCAAGTGCGTGAATTAATTCATTCCCACTACCTTGCTTCGGGGACCTTACAATGCCCGGCAACTTGAAAACCAACCTGAGTGGTGATGACTCCTAAATAGCATATGTGCCCAAACGTTGCAGCCCTCCACGCGGCCGCCGGTGCATTGGCCTATATATTTTAACAAAAAAGATAACCTTGCGCACGCCAATGGTCCATAGGGTGTGCATTTTTCTCCCATTAGTTCTTCATATAAACTATTCCATGTAGTCTCGAGGTGGAGTTCTTGTGGATATAAGTTGAGAGTCTCTTAGGCATGGGGCTGTGGCAGAGATCACGTGATTAGATCACGCTTTCCGAACTGAGATGATTCTACCTCTCCTCCCTTTGCATCAGCTCTACACACAGATTGTCTTGCCGACCTTTTAGTAATACGATATGAGTAATATCCAGTTTCGCGCGGGCGTCATGTTCGATTCTTTGACCGGAACTTAACTCTTTCGGGTGCCTGCATATGCAAGGCCTGGAGAGTGGACCATGGCTTGTGGTTGGGGCGACAAATGCGATCGGGTTGTCAGCATGTAACCACCAAGGACCTTCAACGCGCCGAACGTTCAGCCGCACCATCGCACACTTCGAATTTCAGTATCCGCTAATTGTCAAATGCTCATTGCGACACATCCCTGTAACAGACTGCACAGGTCCCAATGGACTCTTCCGATTATCCTGGGTATGGTCGTTCATGGCCAACCTTTCCACAAAGCTACAGCCTCTTGCCTGCACCTCTCCCGCAAGGCTACGGACCTGACATCGCGAGCTCAGGACCGTACAGCTATCCACAGTCTTACTACCAGCGCCCTGTGCCTTCTCAAACAATTCAATCTTCCCCCGGAAAAGGAATCTCCGCTAATGCGCCGGCTGTCGGTTCATTTGAACCCGGAACCCTTGGTGGCGAATCTCAATACCACCAAAAGCCTCAAGATCCAAAAGCTGACGAGCTAAGTTCGGCACGGGGTTTGCAACACTTCGTTAATATAAACGCCTCCAGGACAAGGCTTCAAGATGGAGAACAAGAGCTGGAGTCTGCATTTTCGAGTTCGAGGTGGTTTTCAGAGCGCCGTCTCAAAAAACCTCATCGGACTATGACGGTAGATAAGGAAAGAGGCCGCCGAACTCCACATATGCAGATATTGCAGACTCGGCTTATATCGACGTTAGAAGAGGATGGACATGAGGCCGTGACATTGACTGTCAACGATGAGCCGATGGGAAAGGGGCAGACTATGTACGACTGTAATATGAGATGGATGTAAGTTAGAGTTGAAGACTTTCCTCTCTCCACACAAGACTAAACCTATCAAACAGGCATATCCGCACCGACAATATCGAAGAAAGAGCAGACGCTATTACTCTAACTAACTTTGAAGTATGTCGCTCTTATGGAGATTGCTTCGCTCTTGCTGACCGACCACAGACTGCTGCCATGCAAGCACCTGGGCTTGACGACAGCGACCGCACTCTAATTCTTCACCTTTTCAGAAATATTCGGAGTAAAAGCGAGAAGACATTTATCCATGGACGCTATCTTGATCCTCTTGTGACCCAGTGGCACGCTAAGTATGGGGATGACAACAACAAAATTACCCAGAGTGGACCGAAGTCAAAAAGTGCTACATTTTTCGCTATCCCATACTTTTCATTAGAAAAGTTCCACTCTCACGAGGCCGAAGAAACCTCGGAACTACACCCCGTGAGATCTCTCCTTCAGACTCATTATGAACTGGAGCCTACCCAGAGCAGAGATAGGCATCAAATCCTTCGCAGACTCGGAGTTGTGGAGAATGGAATACATGTGCCGCAATTATGGTGCCCGCTAGTGAACAAAGGTATGACACTCTCAAATCGATTTTAGAACGCTAGCCAGACTAAAAGCACCAGATCATATTATAACCTGTGCCTCTGCTGATATAAGCGACTTATTTGCGGATATCATCAAGACAGAACAGCTTTCAAAGATGAAGAAAAATTTGAGAGGATCAACAGTCGTGAGATTCTCGGATCCAAGCGGGCAAATTCATTTCCTGCCTTGCGACAAATGTCAGACCTGGTTTGTACGACCCCCTCAACAGACCAGAGTTATCTCTCCAGCCTACTGATAAGTCTTTAGGAACTTCTCGACAGGATTGGGAAACAGTACCAACCAATAAGCCATCTCATGGCAGGTGATAGTCACCCTGGATGGCAGCTTCTATTTGAGGACGGACAGCTAGCCACCGGTGATAACTGGGCCAAAAGATTGGCTGACAACAATTCTATATCTATGAATCTAGAACTGCGGTGGCAGTCCCAGGACTTCATATCACAACCTCCTGGTCCTGGTTTCGTCCAAGGTCCGCAATCGGCGAATCAAAATGCTCTTTCTCCCTTTGCAATATCATACCCTGGATACGGGACATCTAGCTACAGTGGAGCGGCGCCTCCCCCTTCTCCATACCATCTTCCCCCATCTTCATATACCCCCCAACCAATTATTCCAGGCCCTTATTCATTACCGGGTCCTCATCCTTACCTTATTCCTTCTGATCCTGCTGCGCCACCATCAGCTGTATCAGATGCACCACCCACAAAGCGCCTAACTCTTGAGATCAAGGAAACCGAACTGAGGGAATTGGTAGATAAAATGGCGAAATTGAGGGATGAGTTATTGAACGGGAAGCCTTCGGAACAACTGTTACAACAAGCAGAAAAACTCGTCAGTCTCGAAGCAGAACTACATGTCCAGCGAAGAGCCGATGAAGAAAGAGCCACAATCGCCGCACATCGAGCAGATATGGAAAAAGAAGCCCGGAAAAGAGAACAAGTCGCAAAGGAGGCGGAACTTCGGCACCGGGCGTTGAAAGAACTCAACCCTATCGAATTTACAGATTGCTTTGACAGATACTTCAAATTACCCTATAGACACTGTATGAATTGGCCGGTAATGGATCTCAACCCCTAGTTTCCCGCCCTTTCCGCTTACTAATTGTACGACAGGACATAAGAACATTGATACATGATGCCTTCAAGCATGTCCATGCTTTAGCGGACCATGTATCACATGATCGCTATGATCTTGTGGTTGACGGCTATATTATTCTGCCATCGTGTTGGCCCTATCTTGTTGAGCCTGGATGGAGTGTGAAAATGTCGATGTGGCCAATACCAGCCCACCAAAGAACGCCCATCCCATCGCAGCCACCAGAGTGGCACAACCCTGAGTCCATATCAAGTCGCTTGGCTCCGTCTACATCAAGTTGGGAGACTGGCTCTATCTCAGGGACCGACGACAACATGGAGCCAGCAATGAAGTTGAATCCCTTTTCAGCAAGATTCCGAGATAGAAGAGTGAGAAGTTGGGGTTCGCGGAGGACAAGACGTTATTCAAACAATACGCTGGGGCGCAGGGTGAGATTTCGACCCAGAAGGGATCACAGTGCAACTTCTAGATCGACTTCCAGATCGAATTTGATTCGACCATCATCCCGAGGACAGTCCCGTGAAGATTGGGATGGCTTCGAGACTGAAAGCAGTCGTTCAAGCGGAGGAGATGATGCTAGTGAAAGTGGCTATTCAGTAGAAGAAATACCCGATCATTTGGACGGGACCCCTTCAACAATCAAGAGAAGAAACTTAATTGTGGAGGATGTTACAGATTCGAGTCTCGAGATAGTCGCGACTCGTTCAGGTGCGGTCATACCCGCAGGAGGCGCGCAGCAAAGGAGGCCAGTCGTGGCTCCTATCAGCTTTGTCTCCCAGGAGGGACTTGACCGTAATAATTCAGGAGCCGCAGGAGGCCGCGCTATTGAAGCCGCCCCCGAGTTTGTATACGTCCACGGTGCCATTGTTCAAGAATATTCCACATGGTCGGAGAGCCAGGCAATGGAAGCTACCCATGCAGCAGGGAACCAAGATGTGCGGTTTGGGACAATACCCAGCAGTGCTTCCACCGGCCACTGGTATGTGAACCTCCAGTTTGTTGGAAATCTTTCGGCGAGTTTAGAATTGGTCTCCACAAATAACTTCTGGTGGGAAAGGTATAAGTACTTTCTTGACTCTTCAGCTTTTAACACGGGATCCCAAACCCCTGGAGAGCAACAAGTGGATTTTTCAGAAGTCCATCCGACCCAGTATTCTGTGGACGACCCAGCATTTTTGGAAGGAGGTTCCGTAGACATCCCCCTCGATGCTCCAGACACCTCCAGTAACCAGGGCACCGAGGCACACGGGGACTTGGAACATTCTCAATCACCGATCTTAGAAGTTGGTGAAAAGACGGTCGCGGATTCAGAGTCGTCTCCGCCCACGTTAAGGCTTAGAGGAGGAGGATTGCCTGAAAAGGTGTTACAACCAAAAGTTGCCTACATGGACGACGTCGATGAAGATTCAGGCAAAGTCATTCGGAAATCGAGGAGATCAGCTTCAGTAAAATCTGTCAAAGGCAAGAGCGTAGCTACGCAAGAAGACTTCGATTCTTCTAGGTCAAACAGCTTCACCGATGAAGAAGATTTCCAGCGGAGTACAATCACTATTGACACTCATCAATCTATGTCAACCAGTAGCGGTTCGGACAATGGTGATTGGGAAGGAGTTTATTCAGACCATTCATTGGCTCCATAGGACAGTGTGTCGATAATGGCAAAGGATCGAAGTAGCGTGCGAGACACGGAGGACTTATATGAAGCCGGTCCGTCCAATACTGCCCCGAGCTCTTTCCAGCATGTACGGCCAGTTAAAAGTGCTTTGTCCTCCTCAACGCGAAAGGAGAAGAAGAACAAGGAGAAGCGCGCCCATTTCGAAGGCGACTCCCCCGGAATAACGAGCAGAGTTGCCCATGGCTCTGACTCAGATGAAACTGGCAAAAGCTTTGGGGCTAGGCTATCCACATCATCTCGACGACCAGTAAGGCGTCTGCCATCCACAGACAGTGTAGATCCACTTGAGGATTATCCCGGATACGGGAGGGGAGCTCGGACAAGTTCTCTGCGTAAATCATCAACCTACAGTGCTGAGCCTCTTGACGATTATCCTGGATACAGGAGGAGAATGGGCGCAAGTCAAGCGAGTCCGTTTTCGCCGGCTCCTCCATCTTCATACTTCACTCCATCGTCACTCTACGGACGCCCGCCTGGCCAACCATATGGATATCCTTTATCGAACCCATTCTCTCCCCCTCCATCGTCCTTTTATGGACAGATCCCTCAGTCTGGCCAACCATTATCGTACCTTGCATCAAACCCGCTTTCGGCTCCACCATCCTCATTCTATGGCCCCCCTCAATCTGGCCCACCGTCTCAGTATCCTTCCTCAAATATATTTTCTCCTGCTCCGTCGCCATTCTATGGACAAACCCCCCAGTCAGTATCTGTCGCTCCCAGTACCTTTGCTCCTGGCTACCCAGGGTACCCAGCTCCCTCATTCTTTCCAGCTGCGATGGGAGATTCGGAAGATGCCACGTCAGATCCCACCAAGATATATTACACTCCGTCTTCTCGCAAAGAAAAGGGACCATCTCAAGCTACGAGCTTGATTTCAGGGAACGAAGCAGAGGGCCTTTCGTCTCCTCGCAATGAAATAGAAACCACTCAGTCCACCAGTGTGATATCAGGAAAAGAAGTAGAAACACCTCCACGGGATACAGAAAGCCCCGAAGAGATTGGAACAACGAGTGGTCAGCAAGTCAGCAGGACGAAGAGAATTGCGGATCGTCTGACTGCAGAGAAAAACATGCTAAAAGACAACTTGTCCGAAAAAGTGGAAAGAATCGCGTCCAGGAGGGGTTCTAGACCCCCACAAAGCCATACCATATCTCAACCCTCACCCCCGGATGCCCCAAAGACCAAGATACCGGAGATTTTCAGATGGCCCGTTGGTGAAGACGGGAGCTTGGATGACGAGGATATTCCTGGCAGTCCTAGTTTGAAAACGGAGAGCTCATTTCATAGCAATACGAGAAGCTCGGGGGCAAAGGGTGAGATGCTGTTCACGGTCCTCAAAGATGCCCATGAACAACTAAAAAGCTACCTTGCGAGGTTCCCAGTCGATTTCGATGTCTTCAACAACACGGAGAAGGCAACGCAAGATGAGGTTTATGAGCTCATGAAAGCAGTTGCTCGTCGTAGCCGTGGAGCTGAAGATAAACAAGCAGATTGGCAACTTTTGATTGACACTGCTCAACAGCTTTTACAATCTTTCACCCCGCCGACTGTGGATGAACATCTAGTTGGCATATTTTGGGGATCATTGGCAAGGATTCTTCGCACCGCTGTGAGTACACTTGGAGGATACTTCTGAAGCCCACAACTAATGTTTCTAATGCTCGCATAGGAGACCCACCCAAACCGAGACATGGCATCTATGTATTCCCGCGCGCAACACTATCTAACAATCATCGAAGAAATCCTCAACGGCGTCTCTGTAAGCTCCTCGCAATCTAAGCCTCGATATCGCATTCCAGACGCCTTAGTACCAGCATTTGAGCATCTCGTCATGGTCTTCTGTATCTTCGGCAGCAACACAGAGCTTTCACCTCGATTACACGAGGCAGAGATGAGACACCACAGGCGATGTGTAGATCTTTTGATCAAGGGAAAGAACCAGCTTATCCTCATACACGCAGGTGATTTAAGTGAAGCCAACATGTATAGAGCTGTCGACTCGGAGGGGCTTGCGGCTTTGATGTTCAAGCAGATCGTGTACATTGCGAGTCGCGGGGAGAAGAAACCTAACATTTTGGTTGCCTACCAGAATTATATGACAAAACTAGTATGCATTCAGTTGTTCATTAGATAACGTAAAGTATCGTGAAGGAAGAATTTTGCTGACGAAATCAACAGGAGTTGCAAGTTTTGGAGGCTCCATCAGTCCGCGTATTTGACGACATCCAGGATCTAGTACAAGAACTTGTCAGTACATTTCATTCAATTTTCCTAGTGTAAAATTCATCTCCGTTCTCTGTTGAAAGATACGCATCTCTTAAAAAGCAGACCCAGGCGAGTCCATCTTTTTGACTGAAGCTACCTTCAATATACAATTGCGGTGTCCTGTGTGAGACATGCTGAATTTTCCTAGACAATCATCGAGACCATCCTCCGTCAACAGAGGACAGTCCTCGAAGGGAGTCTTGCCCTCTTCGGTGCAAGTGCGAAATCCCAAGATGCATTCTCGTTGATCACACTGGCGAAAGCTTTGCAAGATGTTCGGAAACAGCTCAATAATGTAACCGAGCTTCTTCAAATGGCGCAAAACAAGAAGAATCTTGTAAGTTCAGCTTGCGCCTTCCCCTTTCCCACAACCACATCTTAGATATGTCAACTGACGAAAATTCTGAAAACAGCTAAGTCAAGCCATATCCATCCGGAAAGAGACTAATAACCAAGCCATCCTCGTCTTCACTATCGTGACGGTCATCTTCCTGCCTCTTTCCTTCATGACCTCCTACCTCGGCATGAATAGTATCGATATCCGTAACGCAGCATTCACGCAGCTACGCTTTTGGGAATTGGCCATTCCACTTACAGTTATTGTCCTAGTGGCGGTTTGGGCATTGGTCAAGTTTAAGCGAAGATATAGCAGGTGGATCAGGGGTATTGTGAAATACTCTTTCAGAAGGTGTTTCCGGTAATATCTATGGATGGGTATTGTATACTGAGAGTCTGTACTCAGTTTTAAAGCGACTTCTACCCATGCAGACTTTAGATATTTAGATTCAGTATGTTTGTAAACAAGATCACGTGCCCACCCAAATGCCACCTCTAGCACTCTCATCATTACTCCCCTATAATAAAGTTTTCGATAACTAGAAATGTTTAGAGGTAGGTTTAACCATGAAAGCATTCGTGCATCACAAAATTTCAATGCACAAGGACTCTCAAACTCAAGTGTCGAATTTGATTTCGGTTCATGTGACAACAATCATTCCTCTGGTGCCGAACCCGACTCCCGGATTTCAGCATTGGTGGATCTGGAAATGTGGCATTGATTCTCAGAATTAACTGGAATTTCTGGAGGGAATAAAGGAAAAGCGGTAAACATAAGGTATATTCAAGTGATGCCCATTTAGAAACTCCCCAAGTTGCAAACCCACTCCTCCTGCTAGCAATCAATACTATTCATACAACCTCGCCGGGGTGGGGATTCCCTTCTTGACATCTTTAAATGCTCCTCTCTTGTTTGCTCCCACTTCCTAAGCCTTCCATCCCCTTCTTGGTAGACTCTTTGCTCAGGTCTTCCATCTCAGAAAGCTGAATGCATGGCTCTTCGCCGCCCCGCAGTTGTGTGGGTTGAACTCCTGGAAATGTCTCGAAGGGACTTCATTTGGGGTCGACATTCCATTTCTATTTCTGAAAAAGGAGACTGGGCTGTGAAAGCTGAAAGTGATACCGAGGGAGGGCGGCAGTTTTTGAGCAGTTGGTTTGAAGCAGGGCAACAGGCAGCCGTGATGCCAATGAACAGCTCGAGCAACCCAACATTGATACCTGGCAATGAATCCATGGCTGCAGTCTACGGTGAACCACCACCGCCTTTGCGACGGAAACTCCTCCAGCTGCCGCTCCCATTACCATGAGAACCCCAATAAGTACCTTATCCGGGACTGGGCTCCGAACTTGCTGAAGGAAGCTTATTGGGAAAGGAGATAGGATGATAGCAGTAGTAAGAGTGGTCCCTCTGCTTGCGTTTGACACATTCCCCAAGACCTCAACGCACCAACATCAACATTTAACCCACCACCGTCCAAAACATCTATAACGATGCACAGCATGCAGCTGTCCGCTCTTATTCCCCTGCTTTCAGGAGTCATGTTCTCCTCTTGTTGACAACCAGGCAATTTCTGCCGGCTGCAACAACATCACCATTCCAGTCACGGTCACCGCCACTTGCATATCCTTTCCCATCACCTTGAGCACTGCCAACTTCCTTACAGTTCTTGAGCTAATCATTGCTGCACCCCTCAACACAGTTATCAGTGGTACCTTCAATATATCTGCAACCTACAGTACCTACTCTAAGCCAGTCAAGACAAACGCGGCCCTCTACAACACCCTGCAACTCCTGGTACATGGGTAAGCCCTCTCCTAACCCAGCAACCACCATTGCAAAGGCTGAGATCTCGAAAACAGAGCAACCTATACCATGACCTACTACTTGTTCGGCGAGTACCACCATCAAAACTACAGCTGGGTGAGTCTCAACTTCTCGGAGTATCAATCCTTCTCGTCGCAATGCTCAACAGCTGCTGGGAAAGTCTACTTCCGGAAATACTTGAGAGAAGTTCGCTAACTTCGGTTTCTTGGGCACAGGTCTCCCACGCCTCCAATGCAGGGGAATATGTAAAACGACACTCCGCCGGGTGTCGATCGGGTGTCACCAACCCAAAGTAGAGGTGCTCGGACAGGAGCACCAAATATTTATTTTATTTTATAAGGAATTAGTAGAATATAATATTTTATAGCTGTGACGGCGGAGCTGGAGCAATGGAACGAGGCACAAAGATCTCTAAGGTCCTGTCTTTTAGAATCCAAAGCTAAGGAGAGAAGGAGAGAGAGTGAGGTGTGGTGGTGGATATGTACGTAAGGCCAAAACCACTGAAACGCCGAGCGCCTAAAGCTTAGCCTGAAACCTTAGCCAAAACTAACGAGTAACCATGTGACACCAGCTGTCACAATAGCTTAAAGGTTAGCTTAAAGGTAAGCTTAAGAAAGCCTAGAAACTTAGCAAATAGCCCCTAAAACTGGTCATGAGAGCCCTATAAGCCCCTAATTTATAGGGCCTTATAAGGCCTAGAAACTAGAACTTAATTAATTAGTATATAAAGTCCTTTAAATTACAAATTTATTTTAAGAAATCATTTTGTTATAAGTTAAGAATCACATGATTATATTACAAGTCTTATAATATACTATCTTATACTTATATTAAAAGGTCTAGCTTACGGTCTTTAAACACCCTGGCCCCCAATCGACACCCGGGGCGGTGTCGTTTTACATATTCCCGCAGAAACCCCGCCCCCGCGTTTTCCTGCGGCAGGGATCGGCCCCGACCAAACCCCGCCCCTCTTCTCGTGTCTTGTACGTGTCCCCTTGACAACTTCTCCTTTAATTTTATCCTCTCAACTTCTCTCGCTTTCGCCGCTATGACAGAAATTAATAGCAACCAGGCAGCTGCTCAGTCTACGGGAGTCAATGCACCAGCACCAACTGCAGAAGCTGAAGTGCAAGAGTATGTTCTCCCGTCCTGGGCAAATGGTAGCGAGGCATCAGTACCGATGGTGGACGATGTGGATGACCACGTATGTCTGGATGTTTATGGCATCTCCGCCCACCAGAACCCTTGCGCCGAACTAAGATGGACAGAGTTTCGCTGATTCTGCTATCGGCGGATTGAGTCTCACGTATGCGCCGCTGCGAATCTCTCATGCTGTATGGCCATTAACCTCTCGCATAGGTCCACCACGACCTCTCTACGTTCGAGCATCTACGACCACATCGAGGAGAATGGCAGAACTTATCATCGATTCAGACATGGCAGTGAGTTCTCTTGACCCCTCTCGTGCAGTTGGATTGACTTCTCAGAGTACGTCTTACCCAATGACCAGGTGAGTTGACGGTAGTCGTGGGAATCTCAAGTGAGTGAAAATGGTGATTTGTGCCCTCAACCTAACCATATACATAGGAAGAGCAGGAAAGACTCGGTATACTCTATCTAGCATTTTGAATTGAATCTGAGCTAAAATGATAATAGATATACAGCACGCCTTATTCTTCCTGAGTCTAGGCAGGCTCCACCTAGCACCTATCGGGCCCAACCCTAAAAGTGTGCTCGATATTGGAACAGGTTAGGAATCTTTGCCATACGCTCCCCGCCGAACCTGCGCTGATTTAAGATAATATAGGAACCGGACTCTGGGCCATTGAATTCGGTGCGTCTAATTGACTGCGGTGTTGGCATTATTTTAATCACGTGTCTATAGCGGAGCAATATCCATCAACACAGGTTCTTGGAACCGATCTCAGCGCCATTCAGCCCGTTCAGTAGGTCATTTATATCAGTGTCCCCGGAAATGTCGTTCTAACTGTGAAGGGTTCCTCCAAATTGCCGTTTCGAGATCGACGATGCAGAAGACGACTGGATTTTCAATGAGCCATTCGATTATATTCACGGCCGAATGCTCTTATCCTGCTTCAAAGACCCGCGCTCCGTCTTCCAAAAAGCTTATGATGCGCTTGATCCAGGCGGCTATCTCGAGATGCAAGACTTTGTCTTCCCTGGCTACTTTATGGGCGAGCCACGCACCGAGACCTCCTTGTATAAATGGGGCCAGGTGATCTGCGAAGCTTCGGAAAAGCTAGGCCGTCCATGGGCTAATGTGCCGAAATATAAGCAATGGTTTGAAGAGATAGGTTTTGAGGAAGTAGTGGAGAAGAAGTATTATTGGCCTCTTAGTGCGTGGGCTAAAGGAGACTATTACAAGCAGATCTCTGTATATGCCCAAGCGGATTTACTTAATGGATTAGACGGGATGAGCTTGAAGCTCATGGGGTCAATGGGTTGGTCAGCTGATGAGGTCAAAGAGTTTCTGATTGGGGTGAAGGAGGATGTAAAGAATACCGCTATCCACGCCTATGGTCCTATGTAAGTCTCGCTGCTCTCAAACAGGGATTTGATGCTGATCAAACGAAATAGGAGAGTAGTTTATGGAAAGAAACCAGGAGTTAAACATTGAAGGCTATCGATTGGATCTGGAGATATACGTATCCTGGAGTAAGAAGACTAGTGCTACTGTTATACCAGCGATTTATATATCTTGATTTTCATGGGCTAGACTCAGCATTTATTATTAGAAATTAAGCTTGACATTACCTCCAATGACTGTTTGAAACGATAACGACACGTTACTATTAAATCCACCCAAAACTTCGTGATCTAATCCGGGCTATTATCGACATTCCAGACACTTTGAAGCCCATCTCATGAGGCCTCGGATTTCTCAACAATCTCATGAACCTCATTGCCCTGCTTATCCTTGATAACCGTCACCTTTGTCTTCTTCAATGAGAACGCTACCGGATTCTTCGACCTGAAAATTTCTGCCAGCTCCTCCAAAGTCCTGTTCTTCGTCTCCACGAATAAGAAATAAATAACCGCAACCTCAAGGCAGTCCCAGAAGATAAACAGGAAGTAATACTTCCACCCCGCGCCGGTGAAAGCAATTCCAGTCACAAACGTGTTGTAGAAGCCGGCGATGTTGACCCAGAAGTTGTAGAACCCCATTCCCTTTGCCCGACTTTCGTAACGCAGGACTTCGACGGGATAGAGTGCTTGGAGGGGAGTCCATCCAGCGGAGTACACGAACCCGAAGATAAAAATGAATTCAATTTCGGCTTTGGAGCTGGCAGATGATTTGGCTAAGATGGTGCCGTCAGCGGCGGTATAAGTGTTTGTGGCGTTCAAGGCGGTGATGATGCAGAAAATGATGACGATGCCAGTGGTGCTGACGAGAAGCCCACGACGTCGACCCCATCTATCGGTGAAGATGGCGCCGATGACAGCACCGCCGAAGGAGACGACGTTTTGGCAGCCGTTGTAGAGGAGTCGAGTGTGGTTGTCGGTAATTCCAGCTCCTTGGAGCATTTGTGGGTAGTAATATGATACAGGGCCATTTCCTGACCATTGGCCGAAGAAAGCCTGGGGAGGAATTTGTTAGTGAATACGTGAAGCAACGGGTGGATTATGCTATACCATGAAGACCACGAGCATTGTTCGGTACCGAACTTCTCGAGAGTTGAATAGTTCGCGGTAATCCCACCAACGCTTGTCGGAGCCTGTTTTGGAGATGTCAACTGTAACGCGTCAACCATCATCCTGAATAATAAAAGGGTCTTGCTCTCACTTCTCATTTCCTCGTACTCAAGCTGTACGATCGGTGAATTCCTGTCGCCTTCGCCGTGATACTTGGCCATAACATCTAGAGCTTCCTCTGTTCGGTCATTGGCCATGAGCCAACGTGGGGTCTGGATTGAGGTTAAAAATGCTATCTTGGAAGAAAAAGAAATGCGAGACTGATTTCTGGAAGGAACAGTGTGAAGACCACGACAAAGCCCGAGAATGTCATTTGAAGCCAAATCGGAATTCTCCATGAGTTGGTGCCGGCAATTGTTGATGTGCCGTAAGGGACGAATGTCCCTGGAATACCTCCAATAAACCAGAAAGTATTATAGCTGGTAAAATTAGCAAATTGCCCATTTCGCGAAAAGGGGGTAGAACTCATGTTAAAACTGAAGGCAGCTTCACTTACATTCCAGTCATCATACCTCTGAATGAAGGATGAGCCATCTCGGAAACGTACGCAGGACCAGCTGAAGCGCAGATGGCGACACCGAATCCCAGAATGAATCTTCCAATCATAAATGCTGCGAGATTATGGGCGGTAGCTTGGACGCATGTTCCAAGGATGATTACCAAGCCGCCAATGAACATCCCAATCCTACGACCTAGTTGGATTTTATTAATGATCTAACAAGTATGGTTTGACCGCTGGTTCTTACCCCGAAAGTCAGTGGCTGGTCCTGCAGCGAAGGAGCCAACAAGATTGCCAATTGTGTAGATGGCATATACAATCCCCGTTGATGGAGTCCCTCCATCACGGGGAAAGTTGAAGTATTCACGATACTGTGGGTAGCTGTTAATGGCACCCATCAACGAGCCACTTCAAATACCTAAAGTTAGCGTCGATCGGTCAGAAATTGGAGTTTTCCTCTGTTGGACAAGACAAATTTTGCTTTCAGACTCGGTTTCCAAGTAGGAAATCACCCGATCCTTCGCTTTCATGGAAGATGAAACAATCCTCGCATAAATCTATGACATTGTAAAATTACTTACTCATATCCGTTGATACACGAATTGAACGTTGCAACAAGTAGACATCCATAAAGCTATGACGATATTAGTGCTGGTCCACTTGGGGTTGAAGGCTGACATACCATTAACATTCTCCATGTGAGGAGGCTTGGCCTCTGCAAGGATGTTGCGTTGCTGAGAGCCGCATTTTGGACGAGCTTGGTCGTCTTCTTTTCATCGTGGACCTGTTCATGGACGGGTGTGATTTGACCAGAGTGGCTAGGGGAATGTTCCTGGGCGCTCATTATTGCATTATTGAAGTATGATCGCTTTGGCAACGTGGTAATGTGGCAATGTTAGATGTTATGCTGAGACAGTAAGATTTCGAACACACAGACTTGATGGAAGGGGAGAGGCATCAAGATAATTTTATATTACAGTCAGCAAGGCTCCTGACCCCATCTCATGTTCAGATCGTATGTACGGGTGAGAAGTGCTCGGTTACCTAGAGTGGAAATAGCAGGTGAGCGACAGCGAGGAATGGTCTGATTCAAGGTTACAACGTTCCAGGGCCGTCTTGATAGGTTGCAGAGTCCCTGCAACACCAACGTTATACTGGGGTAAAGGCTAACTAGATAGGCGAGACGGGTAAATATTCCAATGGGCGAATGAGCGGAGGTCATAAGATCAAAAACTTACCAATGGTCGTTGGTCGTTGTTGCTGACGTGCCGACAGGCAGCCGAAGCCGCCGCGTTTTCGGTAGAGGTAATGGCAGACGGTATTGCGCAGAGTTACCCTAACAGTGTTCAGGGTTTAATTCGAATTTTGATAGATCACGGCTAAAGGATGTTTCTACAATGCCGAGGTGATGTGGTTTAACTACGCCGGAAATATGTCGGTATAAGCGATGTTTCCTTCTGCCCATTTTCAGTGGGGAGGTACTTTCGTCTTATCATAAGACTCTTATGATCCAACCAAAGACAGACAGAGGATTGAATTGATTTATATGGTTGCGACGAGATCCAACCAAAGCTGAAGCGTAAGAGTAAAATGAAGAAGAATAACCTGAAGCGGTTCTCTCTTTGGCTGGCCAAGTGATGGACTACGCTTTTGTGGCGTCACTTGAATCCACAACACTGTTGATATGACTTACCAGAGTCCAAGACTCGGTCCGTTCTTCCGTCCGAGGATTCTCTTTAGTCTTTCGGGACTTCGAGAGAGATTTGAAAGGGTTCCTAAAGATCGCCGATGAGGGATTTCCATGTGAGGGTAATGAGATTTGCATGCTGTGGATGGGCGGACGGCCCACACACGGAGCGGTAGGTCCGCAGCTTCGACCGCCGTGTGTTGGCTTTCCGGGATCTCAACCCACAACCCAGGTTGATTGGCGCTTCGCCAAATATCCCCGGAACGATCACTGTTGCTGCTGACCCGAGTTTTGGAAGACAAAAGTAACACCATCCGTTCACTGTAGTACAGTAAGGGGGCTGGAATAACGCGATTAGATGGTGGAGATATTGGTGGATGATGTGCAAAACTTTGAGGATCTTTTGTCTTTCAGAAAACCCATGAGGCGGAGTGCCCTCATCGGCTGTAACTCGTAAGGACTCGGGGGGCCTTTTGTGCGGGGTTCGGAATCCAGCGTAAACTTTTCTACCGACTGCTTGCACTAATTGTGGGCTCCTCATGAGTACAAATTAGGACCTATGATAGGCTTTCGACCGTGAATCATTACTATTTGTCTTTGGTTGAATTCATCGCGATTTTCAATCTCGTGACGAAGTAAATATATTCTGTGCGATTTCAGGAGGTGCGGGGTCAATTCGGTTTTCGGCGGATTAACCAAGTACGGGCTCCTTTAAGGACGCTACGGCATCTATTATTTTTTTCGCAAAATCAAAATTGCGATATTTTAAAAATGTGAGATTATTAATAATCTAAGTAATTCCTATGGTAGAATATAATTAAAACAGTCGATCTATATGGTGTTTTATCGCATTCCATGGTGGGAATGCAATAGGGTGGGAAAATCAATAAAATGCACGTGACATGCCCCCTTGTAACTACTAGGCCACTGGCATACTCCTTTCATATTTCTGTTCCTTTATTATTATCTTTAATTCCTTAATCTTTTATTATTAATCTCTTCATAATGCCTCGTTTAAGGATTAATATCGACTGCTATCAAGCCCATATCCTTTGTTTAATTAGGCAATAATTATTACATGACGAGATTGTGGAGAGGTTAAAGCACGACTTTAACGTCGATATTTTCCCTAGAACTTTACGCAATAGGCTTTCCGATTAGAAAGCGCCTTCCCAGCGTTCGATATTTGAGCCTTCTCCTCAGGTGAAGGCTCTTATCGCCTGGTTCTTTTGTGATATCCATACGACTAATGCCAATATACTTGCCAACCTCCGGAGCTTAGGATACAATATTCCTAATTTACGACTATTACAACATGCTCGCCGAGCTATGGGCCTTCGACGTCGAATGCTTAATTCGCACGTTGAGCTAGAAAAGGAGCAATTACGCCATATTCTCAAGCAATATATAATTAATAAAGGCCCACAAGGCAATACTAGAAGTTATGGCTGCCGGCTTCTATATACTTATCTCAACTCCCTAGGGGATGGCCAGAAGTTTTCTAGGAATAGAATAGCTTCTGTAATGCAGGAACTTGATCCAGAAAGCATACAACGTCGCTGGGAAGAGATAAAGGCAGCTAGGGGGGAATATAATATTCATGGGCCGAACTTTGTTTAGTCTATTAATGGCTATTGCAAGGTAAGTGCAGTATATACTTAACTTCAAAAATCATTATTTTAATAACTACTAATCCGTTTGCTTAGCTATGATTTTGTGGGATTGAGATATATGCCGGTATTAATGCCTACTTACGGTTTGTACCTTGGATTTATATTGGAATCTCAAATAGCTATACTATAAGTAGTAGTATTTCCTAATTTGGTACGGATATATCCCCTCGAAAATGCCAATATTTACTTAGTTGTGATCCCGGCTATGCAATTCTGTAGTATTGCAGAGAACTAGTTGTTTGAATTGCACTTAATTTAGGCGATAAAACCCCTGAATCTCCACATTATATTCTCCTTTGGCCTAATTAATATTATACTAATATATTCACTTAGTCGTAATCCCGGCTATGTAATTCTGTAGTATTACAGAGAACTAGTTATTTGAATTGCACTTAATTTAGGCGATAAAACCCCTGAATCTCCATACCACATTCTCCTTTGGCCTAATTAATATCATACTAATATGCACTTACTTATGCCACCTTCTAGGTTACTATCCTAGTTCAATACCTTGACTTGGTAGACGAAATGGAGGTTATTCCACTCCATATTCAATCGGATAGAGGGTGCAAAACGCCCATGGTTACAGATGCCCATTATATCCTCCATAAAGCGATGTACCAGACAAGGGGTATTAATCCATATCAGTTCTCAGATCTCTATTAGTTCGGGACTAGTACGGCTAATCAACGTATTAAGGCATGGTAGGGACAAATTGCGAAGGTAATTTATCTATACTAATCCCATACAGACTTATTTAATTAGCTAATATTATATAGGGCATACTAAATAAATGGAAGATATTTTTTAAGTAACTGCGCTCTCAAAGGCTTTACTCTCGCAAGCTTCTCCCCGATTATATAGCTATGCTTTTCGTCTATTTGCCTATTATACGAGAGCAAACTGAGGAGTTTGTTCGGGTATGGAATATCTATTTAATTAGGAAACAGCCTAATCGTCTATATATCGTTCCTGGTTAACCCTTCCAGAACTACATGTTTTTAGAGCAAATGGGGGTCAGGGACTATGGAATTCCTATTAATATTAATAAACTGAACGAGCTACGTAAAGGATATGCTAGCTATGATAAAGACGCATATTTACCGGAGGTTATACTTGAGTGGTGTGAGCAAGAGCTTAAGGATGCCGGCTTTATTCTCCCAATTATGGAGTCTATACGTGACTCGAATGGAGATCTGAACTACCTGAGTGCCTATATATATTTAAGGGAATCGATTACCGACTACCTAATTAATACGAAGAATGCTCGTCCAAAGCTAGGGCTTTTATTAACACCTAAGGGTATATATGATTAGAATCCATTACCAGAGGTAGCTGTGGGACTAGAAGAGGCAAGGCTAAAGGATTATAATAATCAAGATGGCATTCAGTTCGTTAATGAAGGGAGAGATACTAGCTATAGAGATGAAGATCTCATCTATATTGGCTCTAATAATGAAGCGGAGGTTGAAAATAATGCAGAGGATACTGGATTTACTATAGATGGTATTACTTTTAATAGGGCAAATGGTAATTAGGTTATAAATGGTCAAGAGTATAGGCAGTTTATGGATAATGGATACGTATCTGAGCCTGAAGTAGAGGAGGAGGATAATCTAGAAATTCCTCTAGTAAATATTAGACGGTTTACCCGGCGATAGAGAAGCTGAACGGGGATATATTAATATATATCCCAAAGAAAGAACTAGCTAAAAACATTAATATTTGCTAAAGTAATTAAATATAGAAGTTAATAGTAGTCTGCTTAATAAGTCAAATTCACATAGTTATAGGTGGTTTAATATTAAAAGGTCACATGATTCACCTTCTCAAAAAATCGACCCTTGCCCCTTTATTTTTTATACCCCCTATAATTATATTATTAACTTATCGTTTTAGTAGTAAGGACTTCATAGTATGGATCAAATTCTCCGTTAATACTAGCTTTATTGAATTAATAGTTCTTGAGAACTTTTGAAGTAATTACAAGACATATTTAATGAAAATGTCTCTTTATATATAGAATTTAATTTTCCCCCTTTAATTCCTATAACCCCTTACTAAATATTCTATAGCCCCTAGTATAGGAAACCATGTTTTAAATAATAATAATACTAGGGATAAATAAAATAAATCCAATTTTAATTTGTACTAAGGGGTATCCCTTGCAGTTCTTGTATTTATTCCTTTTTATATATTGGCAATACGCTACTATTAATAATCTTCGAAATGGGTCCCTAGTATATAAATTATTGAGGGAAAAAGTTATAGGGATATAGGCTAAAGGATTAAAATAATATTAATATATTATAGTTCTATCCTGCTAATTGTCTTTATACCACTATTTACTAAACTACTAGATTTATTAGCTATACTCTCCTTCTGATATTCGATTATAAATTAAATCCTTATTCTTTTATCCCCAAACGTTTATAATAGATAATATTAATCTATAGAACTCTTGTTTTGTACGGGAGGCACCAC